TTAAAACAGCTTGGCTTAGTAAATTGCAAAGATGTGATTCAGAGACGCAGCTCACAGATTGGAACCCATTCTTATCAGTCAGAAGAAAAGGCCTATTAATGTTCATTCTTTTAATATCACCAATGTCAAACGCCGTTCAGTTTGCTTCCTGATTTGTTTTGCTTGGTGCAGAGATAAAAAAAAATAAAATAAACGTAAGAAATCAGGATAAAGCCACATTTATCTTTACCTGTAGCAAGAGCAAGTGATGAATGTATGAACTTATCTGAAAGAATTAAGTCTTGCTGTATCAGCTTATTTTAGACTAAGAAAAAAAACTGCACAGTGGCAAAAAGGAGAGGATCAGATGGTATGGGAAGAAGAAGAATTTTATTTCAACAGATTTAAAAGTTAGTGGAGGGAGTATGAGAATGGCAAAAATACACCATCCTGAATGTATGTTCCTAAACATCTATAAATGTGGGTCAAGATCAAAGACAATTACATGCCTGTAGCGTAATATTTATTCACTAGATTTCTATCTGGCCTTTCAATCAGGAAATCCAGGCAATAAATGTTTCTTCTTTCCATCATCTCCAACAATCACTCTGAAAGGTAGAATGGGCAAAGAATGAGTGACTGCCCAAACTCCCCCAGAGAGTTTTGATGGTTGAGTGTCAACTCAAAGTAGAGTCCTTCTATTTCTAGTTGGGCATCTTCACCACAACGCCACACTAAGATAGTCCTTGACTTACAATTGCTCAGTTAGTGACCATTCAAAGTTACAATGGCACTGAAAGGAGGAGGAGGAGGAGGAGGAGGAGGAGGAGGAGGAGGAGGAAGAAGAAGAAGAAGAAGAAGAAGAAGAAGAAGAAGAAGAAGAAGAAGAAGAAGAAGAAGAAGAAGAAGAAGAAGAAGAAGAAGAAGAAGAAGAAGAAGAAGAAGAAGAAGAAGAAGAAGAAGAAGAAGAGCTAGTGCGTTCTTATTCCATTCTTATTCCCACTTTTTTCTAACCCAACATCATCACATGAAACACAAAGGTGTTGGAGAAGAAGAAGTTCCCTCAAGGTCTTAGCTATAAACTCGTTGGGCTGCCACCTATCAAATTACTATTGTGAGGTGTAGTTGAAGAGGGATGAGAGGCCAAGACAGTTAAAACTAAGTCATCAATGTTCTTGGATTCAAATAAAACAATTCTCGGAAGATCCTCTTTTCTCTCTCTCTCTCTCCCCCTCTCTCTTCCCATGCACAACTAGGGAGAACTTCAACAGCATCTTTCTCTCTTTTTTAAAAAGACAATTAAGAAAGAAGCCGAAGGGAAAGGTCAGGGCCATAAAAATGCCATCTGTCTGAATAAAGATGTTCATGGAATATCTTACTGGCCTTTGCTAGACCCATCATCATTGGCATTCAAAGAGGAAAGAGCAGAAAGAGAAAGCAAATTTCGAATCCCTTTCTGTTTTTAGACCCAGGGAGAACACTTTTATGTTTAAGTGGCCCACAGCCCTTGGTCCACACCGTAGGCATTTTGTACCCATGAAGAGCAAGTGTCATCCTCAAAATCCATGTGCCTTTTTTTGCCATCAGCCCCTGTTGAAATACTAGGTGGAAAGATGTTTCTGCACTTCGGGGTTTTATGTCTTATTCAACTAGAGGAGAGACAATCGGATTTTGCTCATTCCTTCAAAGGAGAAAAGAACTTTGCAGAGAGGCACAGAGTGTGAGACTACGCTGAAGCTGCCGCAGCTAAAGTTGAAGGAGGCACGTAAAGCAAGATGGACCAAAAGCCAGCAAGCTTGTCAAAAAGATTCACAGCCCTTTCGCTTTTGGGAAGTGGAGACCGATGCGGAATTGGGTCCTGATCCAGAGCTCGCCAATGAAAGCATTGTTTCTTTTGTTTATTTATTAAACTCCTACGCCACCCATCTCACTCTGCAAAGCAACTCTGGACAATTAAAATCACAAATATATATATATATAAAAAAACATTAGTGGGCAGAGATAAGAAGAAGCCAAAGGCAAGATTGGTACGGCGGTAGCATCTTCTCCATTAATTCACCAGCCACGTCCAATATTGAATGCCCCCATCAAGACCCCAGGCTAACTGGCAGAGACGGGTTTTAATGCTCTTCCAGGAGGTCAAAGCAGTGGTGGGATTCAAATAGGTGAACCACCGGTTCTCTGTGTGGATGCTGCTTCTGGAAGTCCATTCTGGGCCTGGGCAACAAAAAATTAGCTACCGGTTCTGCCGAAGTGGTGCAAACTGGCTGAATCCCACCACTGTATCTATTTCTAATCTATCTATCTATCTATCTATCTATCTATCTATCTATCTATCTTCTATATCTATTTATCTATCTTCTATCTACTATCTATCTATCTATCTATCTATCTATCTATCTATCTATCTATCTATCTATCTATCCATCCATCCATCCATCCATCCATCCATCCATCCATCCATCTATCTATCTATCTATCTATCTATCTATCTATCTCTATTGGTGGAATTCAAATATGTGAACAACCGATTCTCTGTGTGAATGCCACTTCCGGAGGTCCATTCTGGGCCTGGGCAACAAAAAATTAGCTACCGGTTCTGCCGAAGTGGTGCGAACCGACTGAATCCCACCACTGGGTCAAAGGGATGGGGGCAGACCTCACCCTAGGCAGAGAGATATTCCAAAGAATTGGGAAGGATCAAAGTAGAAAAGCCCCCCTTTTTAAACCCCACCAGTCAAAACTCTTTGAACAACTGAGCCCGTGACATTCACCCAATATGACAGGCTCGGTTACTATTGAAGTATCTTTGAGATTATGCCCAAAATGCCAAACCAGGGTGTTTGGTTAATGAATGATTCAGTATACAGGAAGTCCTTGACTTACAACAGTACATTTAGTGACCGCTCAAAGTTACAACAGGGCCGAAAAAAAGGAACTTACGACCGTGGCAGCATCCCCACGGTCACGTGATCGAAATCCAGACGCTTAGCAACTGGTTCATATTTATGACGGTCGCAGTGTCCTGAGGTGATCTCCTTTTGCGGACGTTCTCACAAGCCAAGTCTATAGGGGAAGTCAGATTCCCTTAACAACTGTGTTGCTAAGTTAACAACTGCAGGGAATCACTTAACAACAGGGGCAAGAAAAGTCGTAAAACGGGGCCAAACTCACTTAATGAACGTTTCACTTAGCAACATAAATTTTGGGCTCCATTGTGGTCATAGGTCGAGCACTACCTGGACTGTGTGAACATCCAAAAATGGGTTAATTCCAGAAACACCTCGAACAGATTCCACAAAAAGCCTCTAAGCAGCTTTTCCAACCAATATCAGCAGCAACATTAGTCTGGTGTTGGTTCTTACAGCTTCAACGTGCGTTTCCTGTCACTCGTATTTTAATCAACACGCCGTTATTTTCGGCTTCTTAAGTTCAAGTTGGATTCATCTAATTCACACAAATGAGACCCATTCATGTCACCCAATTTTCTTCTTCAACACCTCCAAAAAGCAACAGCCAAAAAACAACTACGAACTACGAACGCATCAATTAAAAGTGGCTGCCTTAAAATACTCCGCTTTTCAAAGACCGGCAACGTTCTTCATTGGGAGGGAGATAAATCCATTAAAAAAAACAACAATACTTCTCCAGACAACAAGGCAGCATGGATAAAAAAAGATGATCGAGAAACAATGCCTACTTAACAACAACCAAAAATAAAAAAAAACTCATTTTCAGGAGATCATCAGGGAGTGGTGAAGAATTGCTCAGACAAGCTGTTTTCCATAAGATCAATGCAGAGGTTCCAATTTTGAAGCCTGTCCTGAAAATATAAACGTGCAGCAGTAACATTTTGCTCTGCTGAGTTGCGTTTTCATAGTCAGTGAAGGAATCCTGGATGGCTACAAATTTATCTATCTATCTATCTATCTATCTATCTATCTATCTATCTATCTATCTATCTATCTATCTATCTATCTATCTATCTATCTATCTATCTATCTATCTATCCATCCATCCATCCATCCATCCATCCATCCATCCATCCATCCATCCATCCATCCATCTATGTAGATGTAGATGTAGATGTAGATGTAGATGTAGATGTAGATGTAGATGTAGATGTAGATGTAGATATAGATAGATAGATAGATAGATAGATAGATAGATAGATAGATAGATAGATAGATAGATAGATGTAGCTATAGATATAGATATAGATATAGATATAGATATAGATATAGATATAGATATAGATATAGATGATATAGATAGATAGGCAGGGCTTTTTTTGTCATAGAACGCCCAGAATGGAGTTCCGGCACCTTTTTTGGATGGAACCTTGTAGGGTAGGCAAGGCGGGTTGTATGACATGTGTGAGTTCCGGCACCTTTTATTTTTACAAAAAAAGCACTGTAGATAGATAAAGATAGATAGATATAGATAGATATGATATATATATTAAATGATCCAGAGCAGGGGTCTTCAAACTTAGCCCTTTTATGACTTGTGGACTTCAATTGGCTGGCTGAATCAGGATCACCTGAGTGGTGCAAACGGGTGATCTATCTATTTCCAGTCTACAACACAGTCCTTTCAGCAGTTCCAAGAATGCTCCATACTCATTTGCACACCTACTCAGGTGACCCTGAAGACACAGATACACCTCCAGGTGGTCTCAACGACTCTGGAAAAGAATGCATATGACCAGCTGTCTGCAAGGACTATAAAGCCTTCCATTCCCCACCATCCAGTCAGAGCCGAAGAAGCTTCTTGCATGAGAAGAAAAATGTCTTCAAAGAAAAACAAGAAAGTCCAGTTGCCTCCTGAAAAAGCGCCTTTGAGACAACCAGGACCTGGATGACGGAGAATCCCCATAGACACCAGCAACTAAACCAAAGGTCAGAATTTGGCCAACTCTTACTGCTGGATTTAGCAAGGCAAGACAAAGTCTGTCTCTCACGGGCATTAGGGAGGGACGCCAAGGTCACCAAGTGAAACACCAAAATTGTCACACTTACGTAAGTTGTTAGCAGGTGCTCTCGTCTCCATGTTCTCGTAATGCTGCATGTGAACCACAATATTGAGATCGGTTTCCATGTGATCCGTCATGCAGGCACCTTCTGGTCGCATCACATCTGCCAGAGCTCTGAGGAGTTGTGAAAAGAGAGGAGAATTAAGTTCACGTGCTTCACAACTCTTGTGTCCTGGTTCCGATAGATGAGACCAGTAGAAATAAGAACTCCGAGGCAATTGCTTTCCTCAAAGAACACATTTAATGGCTACATTTTATCAGCACGAACAAAGGTGAAACCAAGACTGAAAGTTCCCCCTCCCAAGGTTACAAAGTAAAACATTGAACTTCCCATCCCTGCAGTAGGTCATAAATCACAACCCCCAATTAACTACTTTGGCGGGCTTTCTAATGGAAACTTCAGCCCGCCAAAACTTAAGTAACTTGACCTTGGTTCCCACAGAAATAACAATAACTGTTCTGTGGGAACCAAGGTCAAGTTACCGAAGTTTTGGTGGGCTGAAGCTTCTGTTAAAAAGCCCGCCAAAGTAGTTAATTGGGGTAGACATAACAATGTCTAAACTAAGAGAATGCATCTCTCCCCTCCATCACTGTGGCAACCAAAAACGAAGAAAAAAAGTGATAAAGTACAGGTAGTCCTTAACTTACAACAGTTCGCTTAGTGACTGTTTGAAGTTACAATGGCACTGAAAAAGCCACAGCCACAGCCGAGCAAGACACTTGCCTGTGGTGCTCTTCCTCCTGTCCGAGGTTTTCATTGTTGTGAGCATTTCTGTTGAGGATTGGCAGTGGGGGTGGGGTGGGGGTGTTTGGTTTTTATTTCCCCCGTCTGCTGGGTGGTTGCAGCAGGTTTTGGTCACTTCACATGACCCTGGGACACTGTGACCATCATAAATATGAATCAGTGCTGGCCAGAAAATCAAGATGCCTGCATTTCTTTAAAACAAATCACTCCCTATCGTGGCAAATTTGGGGGCTTTGGGGCGGAAAGCATTTGAATCCCAGAGTTCTAGAACTGAACTTCTAAAAAATAGAAGAGGGATGAAATAGGCTGCTTTGAAAGAATACTGGACTGGTTCCTTGGGTTTTTCTAAAGGTTCTGAATATTCAGATCCCTTAAGAAAAAACGAGAAAAGGATGAGCGTGCCTGATCCAAAAAGACAAAGAAGGCGGGAGGAAAAAGAATGGAAAATCTTAAAAGAAAGACTCAGAATAAGTTGAGGAGCTGAGAAAGTTGGAGCAGCAGCAACAGATCAAGAAAGCTGGAGCATTGGCCTACATAACGGAGAAAAATCACAGAACTGGCCACAGCTTCAAAGAGCTGAGCAACTAAGCTCCTAAGAGGGAAATGTTATTTATACTGTGATCTGCAGTTCTGGGCAAAGCCCTAAATCCTGAAAAATAAAAAATCACACACCTACAAACACCTGCCTACAAAGAAGCAGTCAATTAACCCAGCTTTTGGGACAGATGAAAAAGAAAAGAAGAAAGTTGGCAAAGCTAGCTATAAATATGTTAAAATGCCGGAGACAGCAACCTGTTTAGTAGGAGAATGTGAAGTGCAAGAAAGATCCAAATGTTCAAATGGGAACAAAATAAATAAAGGGCACTTTTCTTTGCAGAAAATGCCTGCCAGAGCTTCCTTTGACTCTGTGCTGTATTTAAAAGCCAAGTAGGTGACATTAAGCACATCCAATTGTCTAGGTATAAAACTCATACCCAGCTCTTGAAATTTCCCCCTGCAAATTCTCATTCCCTTGGAGAGAAATTTCCAGAGCAAACTTATATTTATTTATTTATTTATTTATTTATTTATTTATTTATTTGATTTGTACCCCGCCCTTCTCCTTACCGGACTCAGGGCGGCTGACAGCCTTATAAAACCCATATTACAATAAATATCAATTTAAAACCAGATTAAAAGGAAATATTTGTAATGGCCTAATAATTAAAATTTCCCTTAAAAACCCCACTAGGCCAATCCCGCTTGTTGGAAAAGCCATGTCTTTAGGGCACGGCGGAAGGAGGGGAGATCCGGGATCACCCGGATCTCTGGGGGTAGTTCGTTCCAGAGGGTGGGGGCTCCCACCGAGAAGGCCCTCCCCCTGGGGGTCGCCAGCCGGCACTGTCTGGCTGACGGCACCCTGAGGAGACCCACTCTGTGGGAGCGTACCGGCCGATGGGAGGCAACCTGCGGCAGAAGGCGGTCTCGGAGATATCCAGGTCCGATGCCATGGAGCGCTTTGAAGATGATGACCAACACCTTGAAGCGCACCCGGAAGGCCACCGGCAACCAGAAGATTTGTGTGGGGAGGAAAAAACAAGGGATGTTTTTTTGAGCAGATCCAGACTTTGGGAAGGTACTAGATCAGCTCATCCCAACCTAACACATCCACTCCAATCTTTTTTTGAAACCCAACTTCCGTCTCCGTTAAGAAGCAGCATGAAGAAAAAGCATTAAGGCAAGCAACAGGAAGTCAAAATTCTGGCCGGATTATGATTTAAAAACATAAGTTAGTGGGATCCAATTTGAGTCGGTCACCAGGACCAAAGGATCCTGCTACATTATGGTGGGACACATACAGGGCTTTTTTTCTCATAGAACATCCAGAACGTAGTTCCGGCACCTTTTTTGGATGGAACCTTGTAGGGTAGGCAAGGCGGGTTGTATGACGTGTGTGAGTTTCGGCACCTTTTTTGTTTTGTTTTTTAGAAAAAAAGCACTGGACACATAGATTTGCCTTCATTCACATAAATTAATCCCTATGATTATGAGATTAAATTTGAACAGGTAGTGCTTATTCTAAGAAAAGCATCCTTGGCATTCTAGATTTAATTGGTGTGTGAAAATGCAACAATTAAGTGGGAGGAGGAGGAGGAGGAGGAGGAGGAGGAGGAGGAGGAGGAGAAAAGGAAGGAAGGAAGAAAGGAAGGAAGGAAGAAAGGAAGGAAGGAAGAAAGGAAGAAAGGAAGAAAGAAAGAAAGAAAAAAAGAAAGAAAGAAAGAAAGAAAGAAAGAAAGAAAGAAAGAAAGAAAGGAAGGAAGGAAGAAAGGAAGGAAGAAAGGAAGGAAGGAAGGAAGGAAGGAAGAGAAAAAAAGAAAGAAAGAAAGAAAGAAAGAAAGAAAGAAAGAAAGAAAGAAAGAAAGAAAGAAAGAAAAAAGAAAAATGCAATCTGAGATTTCCTAGAATTGGGAGTTTCTGCTTGTGCCTCTCCCAAATCATAGGAAAATGAGCAGCTACACAGAAAGAGAAGCTGAGCTAAATAGATGTTAAAAAAACACACCAAGCAGTGTTCATGGCATGAATTATAGCTGAACTCCTCCAGTTTTCTCTGCCTTTTTGGATGGGAAAGCCTTCTGAATCCTCCTTGGCAGAACTCCCATGTTGGTGGAGATATTCCCACGTGGCTAATGAGTAACACCAAAATTCTTCTATCAGCAAAGTATTATGAGTGTGTCACATTTTTCTTTGGGGTATATTTCAAATCATGCTTTAAAGCAGAAATGGGCAATCATCAGACTTGTAAGATCTAGGCTAGGTTCAGATTTTAAATCGAGAAGGTGGATTCAACCAGGGTTTAATGAATAAACAACGCGGGCTGGATTCCGACCCCAAGCGAAGCCACAAGGAAGCCATCCTTAGTTCGGTTTGGTATGATGTCGGCTTCTCGGAAATCTTGTTCCATCTTCTTGCAGATGTTCTTACGGATGTTTCATCACCAGGGGATAGAATCAAGATCACGTGAAGTATTAATATCACTTTACAAGGCCTTGGTAAGGCCACACTTGGAATCCTGCATCCAGTTTTGGTCATCACGATGTAAAAAAGATGCTGAGACTCTAGAAAGAGTACAGAGAAGAGCAACGAAGATGATTAGGGGACTGGAGGCTGAAACATATAAGGAACGGCTGCTGGAATTGGGTATGTCTAGTTTAACGAAGAGCGCCTGAAGGCAGGACAAGAAGCAACGGGTGGAAATTAACCAAAGAGAGAAGCAACCTAGAACTAAGGAGAAACTTCCTGACAGTGAGAACAATTAACCAGTGGAACAACCTGCCTCCAGAAGCGGTGAATGCTCCAACACTGGAAGTTTTTAAGAAGAAACTGGACAGGCATTTGTCCGAAATGGTATAGGGTTTCCTGCCTGAGCAGGAGGTTGGACTAGATGACCTCCGAGGTCTCTTCCAACTTTATCATCATCATCATCATCATCATCATCATCATCATCATCATCATCATCATCATCATCATCATCATCATTATTATTATTATTATTATTATTATTATTATTATTATTATTATTATTATGTCTGCAAGAAGGAAAGCCAGTCCAGGAAACACCAAGAACCCAACAATATAGATCACCCAGCTCTTTATTCTCCATTAGCCCAATTTTCCAGCTGGGACTCAAATCCCTAACAATGCTTATCTTGAAGAGCAGATTACAGCCACGTCTGGGAGAAAAGTTAAAGAGGAAAATGACACTGGGCAGATAGCCAGTTTAGGCCCAAGAGAATGGCACTAGCAAAGCTTACAAACAAACAGACCACAATCCTTTCTGCCGTTTCCCCTCCAGCCACGTAGCTCATCGCTTTTTTGCTTTTTTAAAAAAAAATTGATTCTTGCCATTTTTAGGTCTTTAGTTATAAGACATTTGTGCTCAACTGTTGCATATCATGGAGATGTCACTGTGGACCATAGCCCCTCCTGCCTCCTCACCTGTTGGCCTGGTTTACTCCATACAATCAACCCTACACCAGTTGTTACATTTATACAATACATCATGCCTATTGAAATAAACCTTATTATGGGCTGCTCTTCCAACCTGGGTTGGTGGGGTGGCTCAGCTGTTAAGACACCCAGCTTGTTGGTTGGGAAGCAGTCCTGGTTCGAAACCCAAGCGCCATGTGGTGGGGTGAGCTCCCGTTCCAGGCCCAGCTGCTGCCAGCCTTGCAGTTTGAAAGCATGCAAATGTGAGTAGATAAATAGGTATCACTTCGGTGGGAAGGGAAGAGTGCTCCATGACATACATCACGCTGGCCACATGAACATGGAAACGTCTTCAGACAGTGCTGGATCAATGGCCTTGAAACAGAGATAAGTATTGCCCCCC